ATGTGTGGGGATGTGACAAAGGCTGGTTTTGGTTTGGGTTTTTTTTTTTTTTGGTGGTGGTTTTTTCTTTTTTTTCTTTTTTTTTTTTTTTTTGTGTGTGTGTGTGTGTGTGTGTGTGTGTGTGTGTGTAACACAGACTGCTGGAAAAAACAGAATTTATACATTGAGACAATCTCTCTGTAGCTGACCCCTTTGAAGGGCGTCAGCTTGGTAGCCTCCCAGTACTACATGCAAACAAAATCAAGTCTTGGCTGTCACTCTTTCCCTGCAATAAGCTCAGTGATTTAGCAAGTCATTAAATTTTAAGTGAATGCACTTCCATTTCAAAGATATATATTATACATACGTACATGTGTGTATATATATAGAGACAACTATACATCTTCAGACTTGGCCATGCCTCTCTCATACATGCATCAAGCTGCAGACCCTATATAAGTAAGGTGAGAGCCATGTGCAAGTATTTATTTATAGCACCAGGAGTAAGCCAGCAGAGTACTGCACTGCAAAGCAGTTTCCACTGTGTGCAGTATAACTCCTTGTGTTCAAAAGCTCCTGAAGGTTTAGAAATTGAATGTTTCTGTAAATATATATATTTGGTCATTTATACCAGCCAAAGCTCTGTCCTGCTGAGTTTATTATCCTTTGTGTAATTTTCTTCTGTTTCTTTTTCTTCCTCTCTTATGATCTGCCTATTTCTTTTTATCCTCCAAATTAAAATGTAAAATACAGAATCCAGCTTAAGCATTGTACCACTGCACTGATATACAGACAACAATCTTACAGCAACTCTGTTGCTTTCTATTTCAAAGTAGGAACTGATCATAAATTCAGGAAGAGAAGAATGTAACCGTAACAGATGCAAATCTGGTTTGAATTAAAAACTAAAAGAATTAAAAAGGCTTTAGTCAGCATGTAATATGTTCTCAATATGCTCTGCTGTGAAAACATTCTCACCTCATTCCCGAAAAAATGTGGGTTTATTGACAGACTGTGTGATTAACCACCACAACACAGAGACTTCAAAGCTTCATGGGTCTTTATTTCGTTAGTTTACTTTATCCTCTCACACCTTGCCTTTCTTAGGTTAAGGTCAGTATAAACACCCAAGCAAGAAGTGTAGCTGTTCACAGGTTTCAGTGTAATTTCAACTCTTAAGTGTGAAAGAATAAAGAAACATCCTAATTGCATCTGTCAATAACAGTGTTGCAGCTACAACTCACATCATTTGCAGCTTCTATCGCTGGGAAGCGTGTCTGACTCTGCACAACACAGGACTTGCTATTTCTAGGCAGCTGATGTTTTACTGCTCAGACATCTACTCAGCCTTGACTTGATAGTCTAAAGTAAATATCCTTGAGCAATTGCAAAAAAACACCTATGCAGCGAGTAAGTAAAAAACCCTGCTGTTTATAGTTTGCAGATGCTTGGGAGAAAACACTCTATATAACATAGCTCTAAACTGCTCTGACAATGGCTAAACTGCCTCCTAGAATCATGGAATCATTACGGCTGCAGAAAAACTCCCAGATAACTGAGTCCAATCATGAAGCCAGCATCACCTTGTTCACCACTCAACCAAGTCCCCAAGTGCCACATCCACAACACTTAATGGGATGGTGATTCCACCACTTCCCTGGGCAGCCTATTCCAATGCCTGATGACCCTTTCAGGGAAGGAATTTTTCCTAATATTGAACCTAAACTGCCCCTGGCACAGCTTGAGGCCATTTCCTGTTCTCCTGTTACTTGGTGCCATCCAAATGCTTCTGCTTAAAGTGGTTTGTTAAATCTTAAGAAGGATCCCTTCCGAGAATGTTTTTTGTCTGCATTACAAAGCAAGACCTTTAATGAATAAATGAAATCCTACTGAATACTAATGATGGATTCCAAAACTTGACACTGGATTTTAACGCTGGAATAGATCTTCAAGGAACAAACTGCCTGCAGTTGCTACTGTGTCACTCCCTCCTCTCTTCCCCTGAGGCAAATAATTGTTAATACTTGACACAGGTGAGCCTGTATTTCCCATCTGAACTGCTGGTCTCTGGTTTCTAATGGATTGACTCCAAAGTTCTAAGTCAGAGCCATCTCTCAGGCATTTTGGTATCTATAAAAAAAATACCAGGAATTCTCCTATCCAGGCAAAGATTATAAAGCAAAGCAGCTAATAACCACAGCCTCCCCTGTAAACACCAGAACATGCCAGCTGCAGAGTGCTTGGAAATCTGCAAAAAGCAATGGACAAACCAAACTGTAATTATCCTCTCATGAGATTTTGGCCTGTAAGTGAAAAAGTAGATGTGGCAGAAATTAGAGTGATGGAAGCATGTGGATCCTTATCCTTGCTCTGTTTCTACAAGGTAAGTACAAAATGAAATCACTCACGTAAGAGGCTATCAACCTTCCCTCTGCAACACCCTTGTTAAAGCAGATGCTAATTCAGCCAGGATCAAACCCCTGTCTCATGCACCACACTGCAGAGCTCAAGTTTCCCTTGGAGCCTAAGCTCTCTCTGTTGGGAAGCCAACCACAAAGAAATCCCTCATGGCAGCACGTGTTCAGCACCAGCACTAAAAAATAATAACAATTAAAAAATTCAGCAATGGCAAAGAGATAATTGTTAGGGAGGGCCCTGTTTTTACCTTTATCATGAGTTTTCCTACCAAGTGTCAGAGCTGGCTGCCACATGCCAGTGTCCCAACTTCAGACACAGTTGTAGTGAAATAGAAACACACAGCAAAGGGAGAAGTGCTTGAGGCTGATCAGGCTCCTGTTCTCACTCTAAAGCATTGCCCAGCATGCTATTCAACATTTTAAAGGCACTAGGAAAGGACTCTAAGATAACTTAGGAAAGCTATCAAGATCACATAAGGGAAGGTGAAGAGTTGTAAGTGCACTGAAGTGGACCCCTCTCCTTTATATTAAATAAAAATAGACTGCATCCAGACTCACAGAATGAGCTCATAAGTGAAAAAAGTACCTTGCAGGAGCTGTACATAGCAAGAAGTCTCTGCTTGTGTCCTGTACAGGGTTCTTAGACACCATGGCCTTCTGTGCTTAAGTTGGTACACTGATCAAAAAACTCCTTTCACCCATTAAGACGTTTTGAGAAAACATAAAGCAAGATTTTCCTGCTATCACGAGTGTACCTGCAGTGTCATCTGGAGCAGTAAAACCTATTTTAGTCACCCGAATCACCCCACTGGGCACTCAGTGGAGAGATGCAGTGGAAAGCACTTTTTTTAGAGTTCCCGTTGATCCTGAAGGAAAAATCTAAGATTTATTTGTCACTTGATAGCTCTTCAGCTAATGTATCTGGCTTTGGTAATGCTAAGGTTTGGTATATTCAAAGCTACTCTAGGCACTTTTCAAATTTTTAAGGCATGCTGAAATCAGTCCCAGGGCTATACTAATGGAATGGCACCTGAATTACTTCCTGAGAAACCAAAAGCTGGTTTATTTTGAGAAAGTGAGAAGAACGTCAAGTTGAGAGAGTCTAAATCCAGTATTTGCACAGCACGGGCAGAAGAAAAGATTTGTTTGCTGTTTTCAGTCACACTAATGTATTCTGCCTGTTTCAGAGAATAACACTCATGCTAAGAACCCACAAATTATCATCCTCAACAAACTCTTGAGAAGTTAACAAGGAGAAAACAAATCCCATTTTACTAACAGGTGCTTTTCAGCGATACTCTACTTCTTTGCAGAAATAATTAAAAAATGCTTTTGCTTAATCCCTAGAAGGCAGACCTTAACTGTGTAATCTAAAGAAATAATCAAAGCAAAATTAAACAAAATTAGCTGCATACGCCTGGAGCACAGTTCACTCAGGATTTAGACGACCTAAATCACAGATGGATTAGTTTTTCCTCCAATTGTGAGAATGATTTAAACTTTTACTGACCTTTTGTGGTTAATTCAGACATTTCTCTCAAGTTTTCACTGCAGTCTGCTTAGTCAGTGAGCATAACAACTCCTCATTCTGAAGAAAACAAAACTTCTGCCCTAGGAAAACTGTGGCATAATAACCAGAGATATACTGTGGTGTGTAAGACTGAAATGGGAGTATATTTTTCTAACTAGTGACACATCATTCTTCATTGTATCCTCCCTTCAAACTTGTCACTTCACTTATTAACCAAAGGCTTCATCCAGGACTACTCCTTTTGGTTTTGCTTTAGGTTGTAACAATGCCAGATGTCTATGGGGGTGTTGGCAAAGGGAGATATTTGCCTTAAAACTATTAAAATGAAAACAAACACTTGCAGTTAGATATTTCCCATTGCGCAAGCTTGTTTGCTTGCCTGTGCTACTGACACAGAAAACAGCTGCCATACAGCTTTCATTATTTTATGAAAAATAATGAGAAGCTTTAAGATAGACAAAACCCCTCCTCTGTCTTCACATTGCTCACTCTCTCCAACCACAGCCACACCGCTCCTCTGGTGGAGGAGGATCCCTCTCTGAATGTTTATCAGAGTCTTTTCTGCAATGCCTTTAAGATTTCAAAGGGAAAACATTAAGTTGCTTCTTGGCAAACGAGCACAAACCTTTGGAAAGCTCCTGCAGTACGAACAAACACTCAACATGGAGTTGTTTGGGGCAGATAAGTTGCTCTGCACGTTCCGACAACGCTAAAGCAAAGCTGTAAAGAAGGCTTCGACTTTGTGCTTCAAATTACTATCACAGCACCAAGGATGCTTGTTTCAAATTTTGCTTGCACTTTGCATTATAATGTGCAAAAATCCTTTCTTAACAGAGATCTTACAACGAGCACAATCAGAGAAATGGAGAGGAGTTTCAAGATCAGAGAAATGGAGAGGAGTTTCAAGGTGCAATTAAGTGCGCGTTGGAGGAAGGGCTGTTCTCTGCAAGCAGCTGGCGTGGAGTCTCCCAAGTGACCCCCTGCAAACCTGACCTTTGCCTTGCCCAGCAGCAGCTCCTTTGGAGAGCCAGCCACAAGGCTGCCGCTCCCAAGCGCTCCCTTTCCCGACTTACAGCTCGGTGGTGTTGGCAGGGATGTCCCGGGGCACCTGGAGCACCTGGCTCTCCTGGCAGATGAGGACCCTGGCCAGGCAGCGGCAGGCGTGGTGCTGGCGTCCCAGGCAGCCCGCCAGGAGCAGCAGCAGGCAGGCGAGGGCTGGAGGCATCTCTGCCTCCACATCTGTGCCCGTCCCCTTTATCGGAAAGGGAAGCGTGCAGAGACCTCCCAGGCCAGCTCCCTGGATGGAAGATCCGCCCCAAAAGCTGGGACAAACCATGTGGCTCTAAGGGGATGACTTCTCAGCAAGCTTCACTTCATGACCCCAGATTCCTTATGGTGTTGGAGTGGGGATAGAGATGAGCAATGCTGAGTTTTTCATGACACAAGTATTTTGTGTTTCAAGTGGTGTTGAAATCAGGGGGCCCAGCTGTACTAACCAGGGCTCTTTTAATATGCTGGGAAAAGGTTCTTCCTTCTCAGCTACGCTATTTCTCATGTCTTGCTTGGTGAGACCAAGGGACAGCAAAGCATTTTTTCTTTCTACAGCCCAGACCCTTTTTGTCCCTGAAGGAGAAGCACTCTATTTATGCCACTATATATGCTCCCACTCATGGATCCAAGGGCCCCTGCGTTTGTATTTCTCCTAGGCAAAAGTAAGGTGTTATTATTCTACATAGTCTGCTTCATGAGGTAAAAGACCTGAAACTAGAGCTAAATAACACCCTTTTTTTTTCACAACTGTGATTACTTTTCATGCAGTTGCTGATTCATCTCCCTTTTTCCTTTGGCACCTTTATTGGAATCCAAAGAGAAGAAAACTCCACAGTCCAAATTGTCCCTGTGGACTGGTAAAATAATTTCATCATGTGGAACAGAAATCCTAGAAATATTGCCAAATGACTATTTGTGACACAACAGGAGGAAAACAGCCTCAAGAATATCATCGGAAGACATGGATGTTGAATCTTATCTTTGAGTCCCTATTTGTTTTCTTTGCTTTTTTGACTGAGCTAAATTATCTCACTACAAATATTAATCCTTGAGAGAGGGACCCTGTGAGCTCTTTGCTGTCACTGAGTCAAGCTGCACCAGGCCATCACCTGAAACCAGAGCTTCTCTGCAAGACATCTGAAATGAGCATCTTGACATAAAGGTTTTTTGTGGCATTTTTTCTTTTTTTAAATTTTTTGAGTGTTGTGTTTGTTTGTTTTTCTTTTAAACTGTAAATAGCTGTTTCAGACACACAGAAGTTATAAATCATGTGCATTTTAAATACGTGAGGGAGCCATGGGTGATTCTGCTGAACCTCACATTTAATTCTTCCCACTGCTTGGAAGGATTTCATAATCTTATTAAAAGCTGCTTTTAGCTTGTTTGTCATGTTTTTTTTTAAATTGTTAGGTTCTTTCCTTTTCTTTCATAATCAAAAAGCATTAAAAAATGTAATGAGATAAAACACAGCATCTTTTCTTTAAATAATGTGGCCAAAAATTTCCATCATTCTCACTTTTAAAACAAGCCTCATAATATAGATGTATCTTAAGGGAACTAATTAATATTTTTAAATAATTAAAATAATTCTTAAACTTAAAACTTACCCCAGTTGTACCAAATATTTGTTATTTTCCCCCCAGTCATTAAAGCCTATTCAAGATGAGAATTTATATTCACAGAGGAAAAATAAGTAAGGAAAAATCATGACAATCTTTTCCTAACAATGGTAGGCTTATAATGAGTTGTAAGAATATTCTTTTAGTTGTATGTGTATAGCAGAGTCCATTTTTCTAAGTTTCATGAGAATAACAGTGACTGCCAAAAAAAAAAATTTCTAAAACCTTACTGACTGACTTTTTCCTTATCTCTCTCTCTTCCCTTTCCTTTGAAAGATCTTAAACCTACAAGGTCTTCTGAAATGAGTAAAACCTTCAGTCACCTTCATCCTCAATGGGATGAGAACTGCAGAATTGCACCCTATGATCAAACAAATTCCCATTTATTTAACTTTTTGCTGTGGCTCACTGAAAGTTGGAATAATGACACACTTCAGGATTTAAACCAATGCCAGGAGGACAAATCATTCGAGGCTTTTGGGGTTTTGTCTTTTCCATACAAAGTCCTTAACTCCTGCAGCCATAGTCTAAAAGCAGGCTGAGAAAATCTCCAAAATATGAAATTTGAAGTTTGAGGAATATAAAGGTACAAGAGTATTTGGATAAAAAGGAATTTAAGATGTATCTCTTCATACTGAAATACATCAGTGCAAATGGTCATGTTATACTGGTGAAATGGATAGTAATATTTATGACATGGTTGAAAAAGTGGTAACATTCTCTGAATGTCAAAACAATTTTCACTCATATGAAGACATCACAATTTGATTAACTTTGGGTTTCATATATCAAACCACGAAAGTTGTTTCAGATGATAGCAATAATTCTATATATAAAAGTCAGGAGATCAAAAAATATCACAATGATTACAAGGCATTTTTCAAATTAATTAGTGGAAACCAAAACTATAATAAGTATGTTTGATTTTAATACATCTAGTAAAACAGAGATATTTAAAAACATCGGGTTGGGCTCAGTAGAAAATCATGAACATAATGAATAAAAATTGGAGGGAGGTTGTCTCCTTTCCATTTTTATCTGGTGAGACCATTTTATCAGTGTAGTACACACTGCTCCACTTTCACTTACATCAGTTAAGAATGAGATGACAATTATTAAATAATATAAACCCCTTATCCAGACTGCAAGCTTCTCTTGTAATACTGCACAGATAAGATTTTGATGGAAATATGCAAGTATCATTACATTCAATAAAATCAGGCTAGTATGCTAAACAGAACTGACATTTCATTCATATTGAAGCAAGCACTAAATCAGGACCACACTATAACTCCCTGAGGATACATGAACATTCAGAAGGATCTCTGAGTTGTTTTAAATATATGATCCAAGCCCTTAAAGAATAGATTCTGGTGTCTACTAATGTTTTGAACTGGGATACTCAGTTCTATTTGTGCACATGACTGTCAAATGGCACACAGCCACATCAGCACAGTCCCCTGCACGGATTAACCAGCTGGTGATCCTCTCACTCCCAGTTCAGGAGCACAGTTAGCTCCTCTTGGGAAGAAAATTTCTGTAAAAGAGGGAAAAAAAATGCTTTCTGGTATCTTTCTGTGGAATTTGCACTCCCAAGTCATTCCTGGTGCCAGACTGGAGCTATGACCATGCCTGAAAACCCACAGGGCCTGTTGCAGGGGACCACCATCAGAGGATCATGTGGTAGGAACAAGCCTGCACTGTCATTGAGATTCATGCTGTTGAATGTGTAAATGCAGAGATGATGGTGCTTTCAGATATTTATGAGAGCCTTATCTTTGCAGAACTATGCTCCAGCTGGCAAATTGGTCTTGAGAGTGTAAACTGTTTTCCTGAGTAAGAAAACAGAAATTTCCCCAAATTGAAGCACTGTAGCAACAGAGATGCAATTAAGTGAATTACGACAGATATTCAATGATGGCGTTAGGGATTATGGAATTAGATGGTGTCTGAGACAAACAGTTAATTCAAGGTTATGTAGTCAACAGGGGATCTTTCTTAAGATGGTAGTTAGGGAGTCTGGTTGATAGGACTGGCCTCTAAAGTCAGCACTGGCCTCTAAAATTAGCTCTGGTTGAATTTTGCAAACACTGAGCCTGAGGAACCAAGGGGATCTATAGACTTCATCCTCTGACCAAACAGCAGTGCCTGTCCTGGGCCATGCTGTCACCTGGATGGATGAGGTTACAGTGGGAAATACAATGAGCCATCCCAGCTCTCTTTTGTTTGCCCTGAATAAACTTTCTTCAAAGAGAGCTCTGAGCCCTTTCACTGCCCTGTACATGTGGCCAGGTCAGCACCTAAATCCAGCTGTTGGATTTTCCTTAAAGCAGGAAGGTCACCAGGTGCTGGAGTGCATCAGCCTACAGGCAAGCAAGTTCACACAGCATCTGCTTGTTTTTCTCTCCTCTGAAACACAGCATGACAGCTAATTAAGCAAATACTGTTTCTACTGATGTTTCCCAGCCTCAGAACTCTGTTTAATTACTGAATGCCTCTTTATCTGTGGCTTTGCTTAACAATAAGCATTCTCTAAAAATGTGTAGGCAAATCAATCACCTGCATGAACAGATGACAGAAAAAACACATCCAAAAAGGGTTTATCCTTTCAGAATGGATATTTCTTTCTCTTTTGAGGATTTCCAGCACAGTTTCTCCCTGTGGCTTTACAAGCTGCAATAGCCTCTATTGTCCTGACTGCCATGCTATGAGAAGAAAAAGGTGTTTTCTATCCACAAAAGCTGGCAATGGAAGCTGGAGCAGATCCTAAAAGGAAATTAGAGGAAATTACTAAAAAGGACTTTGACACATCACTGATTTGCCTTTCGTGAATGACCAACATGGGTATTAAAACAGCAGATCATTGAGGCAAACAGATCATTGACCTGATAAAAAGATAACGTTTTAGGTGCTTTCCAGAAATAGCTGTTCTGAACAGAATATTTTTAGCATCACGTTTTTCTGCAAATGGGGATTATTTTAAAGTACGTTTGAATGGACAGACTTTATCTGTGCCCTCGGTGCAGAGAACATAAAACTATAAAGTAGCCTAATAAAAGCAGTATTATTGCTCTCTCAGTTCCTTTAGCCATCTGCTCACATGAAACCTCGACTCCAAAACGGAGTGAAGCTGAGTCAGTAAATCAGCCACCAGAGGGAGTGCACTGACTCGGGAATAGAACATACACTTGTAAGGCAAAGGATTAGAAATTGCATGGAGTTATGCTCATGACGATTTCCTGTGGCTGTCTGACTCTTGACTTCACAACTTGGCTGTGATGAGTTAAACTGCACCCCTGCAGAAGCCAGAGCTGCACATCACATGTGTCCAATGCAGCACTGTGACTCTTCTCTCCTGCTTGAAGATGAATTAGGATCTTGTATAAACAATCCTACCAGTCTTTTTAGCTCAGGAGGGACATTGCCCAGCATGGAAGGGTCTCAGAAACTCCTAATTTTTCTGCTGACACTTCCAAGTGAGTTTGTGCTTGTGCTATAGGCTGAAGGAGCAGGGGAGTTTTGGCTTTCTTTATTTTACTCTGCCCCAATACTTTTATGGCTTTGATGGCTAACAGGCTCCCACTCAGCCCTTTATCTGTCTGATTT